CATAGCCATGGACTACCCAATTTAGTAATAGGACTACACAATATAGCCGTAGGACTATCCAATACAGCCATGGGACTACCTAACATAGCTTTGAGACTAAATAATATAGCCATGGGACTACCCAATTTAGTAATAGGACTACCCAACATAGCCATAGGACTGCCAAGCAGCAGGCTTGGATGGTTTATGTATTGAACTTTTGAAATACAGTTGTAATTTCTTAATTGATCCTCTAGTTAAATTATTTAATTTAATTCATGAATCTTCAATATTTCCGGATATTTGGAATACCAGTATAATTACACATTTATATAAAAAAGGTGACAAACATGATCCCCAAAACTACAGAGGAATATCTGTATCTAGTTGTATTGGTAAACTGTTTTGTAACATAATAAATTCTCGTCTTAATAACTATATTGAAGAGAACAAACTAATCTATAATAACCAGGCTGGTTTTAGAAAGAACCATCATACTATTGATCATATTTTTATCTTAAAAACTCTAATTTCAAAACAATTATGTAAGAAAAAGAGACTTTTTGTATGTTTTGTTGATTTTGCTAAAGCTTTTGATTCAATTTTGAGAATATCCTCTTTTACTTGACATCAAAAAACAAATAATAAAATATTGGCTGCATATCGTGGAATTACCAGATGATAATCTAACTAAACAAGCATTCTATGAACAGAAAAAGTCATCTATATCAAATAGTTGGTTCATTAATCTTAAAACCATATTACAGGAAGCATCATTAGATTTTCTTCTGAAAAGAAAAATCCTCAAAACACAAACAGCAACAATTTGTAAAATTTTACAATCAAATTTACAAAGCAGGTATGTGAACAAGTGGAGAACTGCTATATCAAATGAAAATTCTAAACTCAGAACATATTCAAAATTTAAAACAAAGTATAATTTGGAGCCTTATTTACTTAATTTGAACGGTGAAAATAGAAAAATGTTCACTAAATTCAGGGTTAGTGATCATAGTTTAGCTATTGAAAAAGGCAGACATTCTATCCCAAAAGTACCAATAAATAACAGACTTTGTCAATTTTGGAATAATTGCATTGAAGATGAGATCCATTTCCTTTTAGATTGTCAAAAATATGAACAGCAGAGATCTCAACTGTTACATAAAATTAAAGTCCCGGCTGACAATAACATTTCTTGTTTCACATATTTACTTTCACATCAAGATAAATTAGTTCAACAAGAGATATCAAACTTTATTTTAGCTGCGACCAAAATTAGAAATTAGATTTCTTTAATAATTTATTTGTGTATTTTTTTTTTTTTTTATACATATTTATTTATTTGTGAATTTTAAGTACATTCATTCAAGTTATTTACAAAATTTGTTAACAAAAATTCTTTATTGTTGCAAACACCCTATGTAACCTACTCTTTTTTACACGGGAACAATAAAGTTCATTCATTCATTATAGAAATGGGACTACCCAACATAGCCATGAAGCTACCCAATTTAGTAATAGGACTACCCAATATTGCCATAGGACTACCTAATATAGCAATGGGACTACCCAACATAGCCATGGAGCTACCCAATTTAGTAATAGGACTACCCAACATAGCCATAGGACTACCTAATATAGCAATGGGACTACCCAACATAGCCATGGAGATACCAAATTTAGTAATAGGACTACCCAACATAGCCATAAGACTACCAAATACAGCAATGGGACTACCTAATATAGCCATGGAGCTACCCAATTTAGTAATAGGACTACCCAACATAGCCATAGGACTACCTAATATAGCAATGGGACTACCCAACATAGCCATGGAGCTACCCAATATGGTAACAGGACTACCCAATATAGCCATGGAACTATCAATTACATGTATAGCCATGAGGCTGAAAAATTGTATACCTTCAAACCATGATGCATCTTAGAGCTACAGTTGCTGTTCTAACAAGAAATAAATAAAGTTTTTTATATAAATTCTTATAAATTCAAATTGCCTGATTAGAATTCTGATTGACCAACCAACTAAAATAATATTCATGGCTCAGTTTGAAATTAATATTCATATTAAGTACTATAAAAGATAAAATAAAAAAATTGTTTATTATAAAAATAATTCAGTCATCGCTTACAACTCGATCCTGGTAAGAGATCGAAAAATAACCTGCATTGCGGCATGTATGCATGCATGCAAGATATAGGGAATAAACAATAAATCTGAACACGGCACAATTGTGAGTAACACTGAATGTTTTATATTGATGTCAGACACATCTACAATACCAATTGATAACAGACTGATTTGTGGGGAAAAAAAACAACATTTAGTGTGTTTTTTTATCTGAAAATGTCTACGAATCTGTAGTCAATCAGCTTTGATTGGTTTACAGGATTTGAAATTACAAAGCCTTAAACCTACCAAGTACCAATATGTTGGGTAGTTTTAAAATTATTAAAAAGTTTGTTTTGAATTTTTATGAAAATTGAATTTAATGTCCATTGCCTAATATTTTAAAATCTGGTGGGATAAAGTAGACTGTAAACAAATGTTTATTATAGGTGGCTGAATTGTTGGTAGTAAACCAGCCAATGATTGAAGACAACATGCAAAGACTCATGGGTAATTTGCATTACAAAATGGCTACTATAACCAATAGAACCGTCTTTCTTTATATGTGAATGAGAACTAGTTATAGATCCATAGCTCTTCCTGTGTTGGTCTTTAGTCTTTACAATGGTATTTTTGTTATTTCTGATGTATTTTGTGTCATTAAATTTGTTATTTTCAGATATTAGGACTTATCAAAACAGAAGAGTTATGATTCCTCCCATAGTAAGACATTGATCCTTGTTTGGTAAGTATACAAGTAGCCAGTGTTGTCACCAGGAACACTACATGGCCTACATGCTAATTTGCATAACATTATAGTATGTTAATCACCTCCACTGTTTTTTATTGTTATAATTAAGCTTAATTGTTTCTCCAAAATCTATGGAGTGGGGAGGGAGGGGTTCTACTCAAGAACTCTGATAGCTCTGCTTGTTCATCTTCAATGCAAGCTGAATTAACAGCAGGGTAAGATTTGTGAGAAAATAAAATTGTGTTCTTGTAACACATAGCAGTATTGTTAAATTATAATGACTAAGCTATTGCGCTTCTGTTTCAAATTACATGAAAATATTCACATGTGTACTTGTTTGCATCTAATGAATACTGCTATTGACAAAACAATTTTACAATACATCATACCAGGACTCAAACGTTTTATCAACATGTTATAACATCAATCAATTAAACAAAATATTAAACATTTTCAAAAATGTTCATTCACCTTGATTTTTTTAATTAATTTATTATTGAGAGCGTAAAACTTTTTAGTTTTCATACAGATTATGTTCTTTGTCTTGCATATTGCATGTAGTAATGAGGGTTTTCGTTAGAAGCCGGTCGCCGGCTTATTTGTCGTCTACACGATCTCGCACGGCCGTCTACTGTTGCAGAATTCAATTGCAGGTCTAAGGTCACACCTGTTGTCACATGGTGTCACATGGTTGATTTGAAAAATGGTGTCCAAATGTAAGATCGCACAGGCAAACAAGAGGGGAACAAGTCATCTTTGTGTTCGTCATACTAAAGCAGAGGGGTTGTCACGAGCGTGTCCTTGAAACTTGAGTTCCAAGTGGCGTATATACAACAGATTGTTTATTTACATCAAAACGCATGTTCCATGTAGTAGTAATATGGCCAAAAATAAAAACAGCCGTTATTCGGCCATCTTTGATCTGATTATGAAATACTGAAATGTATGATGTATGTGCCAAATACGAATGAAAATGGTACATAAATTGTGGAAATATAGTAGTAAGGCCAAAAAGTCAGATGACTGTCAATCGGCCATCCTTGACCAGATTTTGAAACAAACCGTCATGGACTTGTATCCTAACATGTATAATCCATGTATCAAGTTTGAATGACAACTGACAAAGCATGTCCAAAATACAACATTTTCAAAAAACAAGATGGCTGCCAGTCAGCCATTTTGAATCGAATCGCTAAACCACTGCATGTGCATATGTCCCACATAAGGTACTAGGCACATGCAAAGAATGAACAGAATCGGTCCACAGGATTCTGAAATATGATTCTGGACAGACTGACGCACGGACGGACGGACAGACTCAGGAACTCACAGACGGATGGGGACATGTATCCTACATGTATGATCTATGTACTAAATTTGAATGAAAACTGACAAAGCATGTCCAAAATACGACATTTTCAAAAAACAAGATGGCTGCCAGTCGGCAATGTTTGATCCAATTGTGAAATAAATCGTCATGCACATGTATCCTAACATGTATAATCTATGTACCAAGTTTGAATGAAAACTGACAAAGCATGTCCAAAATACAACATTTTCAAAAAACAAGATGGCTGCCAGTCAGCCATTTTGAATCGAATCGCTAAACCACTGCATGTGCATATGTCCCACATAAAGTACTAGGCACATGCAAAAAATGAACGGAATCGGTCCAAGAAATTCTGACGGACGGACGCACGCACGAATGCCCAGACGGAGACTGAATTATAAGTCCCCGTTTTCAGACTTTGTCTGAACGGGGACTAATAAAATGTATAAATAAAACGACCACAAATAAAATCTTTCACAATGAACAAATTACTATTTTGGTCTTTACTTAAACCATATGCCCACATATATTGAAACCTGCAACAAAATATGTCTTGCACTTTCCAAAAGTCTTCGGTCCACAGAGGGAAGACACCCCACTCCTGCCCTTCCCCCGTGAAAGCAACATGCTCGCATTGCGCTGCGAAGCCATTCAGGAGCCTTCTAGTATTTTAATTTAGCCTCCTACTTTGAAAGTCAGGGAAACCCCTGATTAATAGCAATTATACTAAATTTTATTGAGATAATGGTCGCATGACACTGACATACAATTAGTGTGCTGCTTTATTTGTATCTGACTGATGTAAATCCAGGTGTGTTGAGCAAGGAAGTTAAATATACACGTAAATGAATTTGTGAGCCACAGTATCTGTGATTTAAATATAAACAGGTAGCAAGTCAAAACAACCAGCTACCAGAGGGTAAAAAACAAAAATTATAAATGTGGACAAACCAGTGGCTTTGCAGTATTTTGAGGACCATGTCTACAATCCAATAGACAAGATCACAAGATTTTGAAAAATCTATAAATAATAGTAAAAGTTTTTCATCATCAAAATGGAGTTCCGTTGACTTGTTACTTCCAAACCAGAATTCATTTGTTTATTCAACAAAGTATTTAGACACAACAAATATAGATATAGTTTATTCGCTCCGAGATTAAGCTGATTTATAACTTTTCAATTATAGATCGGTAGTGCCCCGCCCATCTATATAGGTCAAATGTGACCGTTATGTAAATAAACAGCTGGCTTTTGGAAATCAAAGAAACTGGAATATCAATAAAAAATTAATCTTGTCGACAAATTATGATCTGACAAAACCGAATATATTCATGTATGGAGCAACTCGTTAAATTGAAGCACATTCTCCCGACCAAAGTGCCCTCGTCCGTTCCAGTCAATCCATTATCATCGAGTCGGAGATGAATCCGCGATGAGCAGTCATAATTCATGTCAAAAACCTAGCGATATTATTTTCACAAATTTCAAACAGAAGTGTCGCTTCAGCTGTTCTACAGACCTGTGCAACGTTGGCTGCTTCAGGGGCTGGTCCATATGACATGCTTTTGAATATTTCGCCAACTGAGTTCGGCGTGCTTTTCCCAGTCACGGCGGCCATTTTCAAGAGATGGTAGTTTGACCTTAGACGCAAGCACGTTTTGCAAGGGGGGTCAGGAGGGCAACACCTTTCTTATGAAATACAAATTAAAAACACGATAATTAGAAAACTAACGAAACGATTAGCAATATTTCAATGTTTCCTTATTTTTGACCAAGGTCATTGGTGCATATTGATATTATTAGTTGGCGACACGGCCCCTCTGAATGTTTAATTGCTCCCCTGTAATAAAATCACGTGAATAAATTATATCACCCAAATCTCGCGAGAGAGAACCTGCCCACGCGAATTGTGGTTACGTTTTAGAATGACATCAACAGCTACCGCTTTCTGTACGATGTGAGTGTGGTTGTCATTTCTAATACGAGGGCATTTATTGTTGTCTAGCTTCTGATAATTTCTCCCACGCTCAGACGATAGGATATCAACCAGAAGAGATTCAAGAAAGAAGTACGGGCGCTGGGAGAGTGGTAGGCGACGATTGAAAGACGACGATACTGGCGATAAAATAAACAGGAGCAGCCATATACCGGTAAAAGCAACCACCTGCGATAACAATCTTTGTGGCCCCGATACTTTTCGTCGTTTGGTAATTTCATACCAACAAAATAAAAGGTAAGTTTACTCACTGATAAATTAACACAAAATGTGTATCATTATTTTGTGCGATCGCTCCCCAGTAAATATTTAATGGGTCTGTGGAAAACATTGCGATCGTCAACACTCAGATCTGTAAACACGCCCACACTTTCATTATCTCTCCGTGTTAGACAATTACCGTTCGTCTTTCACGTGTTTCTTTTCTCCTTATTCCTCTGCCATTTAAACATTCTCGGTCAACGACTGCTCCACTTCTTTACGTGTCGTTTTCTTTAATACTACATTGATTATAAGGGTCTTCAACGCCAATGTTTATCACAAATATATTCGTCCACATTAAAAAACAAACAAACATTACATTACATTTTGCTAAAGTCATTGAATTAATCAATATACCTGGAGTAGGGGAAAATGTGGTCAAATTCAAGTTAAATTATCTTTACTAAGAACTGGCTGGTACAGTTAGTAATTGTACTCGCCAGTGACCCACGATAATAAATAATGTTGTGGTTGTTCCTATAATAAATAGGGAGGGATTTTTTTTATTTTTCTATATATTTTTTATTTGTTATAACTCTGTTTTATATTTTGACTTATAATAAAAATGAAATGATATGAAAGTCATAAATCATTTTAATTTTCCATTAAAATCTCAATCAAAGCCTGCAACTTTTTCTCAAATACAGCCCAAAAAGTTTTGAGTTGTAAAAAATAGGGTAGGTCTAGTTGTAAACACCACATAATTTTTTTTTACTTGAATGAAAAAGTAGTCTGGCAATATTAGGCTGAAAACAAAATAAAAATATAGATAGATGTGACAGTTGCAATAGTAAGCTAGTATCAATATTGCTACTTTGTTAGAAAAACGGAGTTATATTGAAATATAACTGCTGATTGGGTTGCTTTTTTGTTCACAGTAATTGAATTCCTGGGTTTAAAAGTAAATAAAAAAAGTTGCATGTCCAACGAACTGGTTGAACTGTATAAGTATATAAGTAATTCTTCAATTGGCAGAGTAATTATCTTTAAAAAAATTGTTAATATTTTATTCTTGCTTGTCAGGGTAATGTTTTACATGTGCATGTACCTCTCTGTATGTCCTAATCCTGAAACATCACCCTACATGAACATGCAGTGTGTATCGCTTTAACTAGAGTGTTTACAACATTTTTCAATTGTGTGGATTTTCAAATTTGTTTATCAATTCTGTAATCGCCAGTCATGTTTCATTACCTTACCTGGTAAAATTTGCATGTTCATATTGAATGGACAACCCTAGTAATAAGGCTTAACTCTATTAAGAATTGTATCATATTTTACTGGTATTGAAAAGGGTGTAATTTTTTAAGTAGCTGACAAGGTCAGATTACATTTTTTATTACATCCCTCCCCATCTCTCTTTCTCCCTCTTTTTTATGGAATACATTCCTATCTATGTATAACTCCTCAAAAAGAAGTTGTCACCCCTCCTTTCATCTGCTTCTGCCAACTCCCAAAATACATGTACTAAACATACACTAGGTGCAGTTAATCTAGGTGTACAATACAGACTAACACTAACAGGTTGACCATTAGAAACGTTAGGAACAAGAGGAGTGGTGTTGGGGTGATGGGATACATTTCAAAAATTCTGCAATAAACAATTAAATAAATTTTACATACCTAAAAAAACCCACTCAGATGTACATGTAACTGAGAAATACCGAAAAAAAATGATGCAACATCATCGTGAAAAAACAAATCTATCTCAAAACTATAAGTGAACACAACAAAAATGCGCAGTTATTCTATCATCTTCCCTCTCAGAATTTCTAACGGTCGACTCCTAAACCAATCTAAAGTAAGCAAATAATGTCAGCTAACAACAAGACCTCACATGTTCCCTATCTTTCCTGGCTATCTTGTATTCTTGACATGTGTATTTATTGGCAGTTGGTTATCTATGACATATTTGTGTCTTTGTAATCGTCTGCTGTTGTCACCTTTTGACCTAGACAATGTTTCTTCTTTTCTGTTCATAAAATCTTGATGAAAATCACTATGTGAGAATCTTCAAAATGAAATCTGAGTGAATTCTCAAAATTCAAAGGTCATGGAGGTGATCACTTAAGGTAGCTCGCTAACCTTGAAACATAGAAAAAATTTAACATGGTAAATTGTTGTGTGATGATGTCCATACATGCAAATCATTCTTATTTGAAGTTTTTACGACGAAAGAAGCATGTGTTTTCAAAAAGTCGCATGCAAAATAATTCAAAAATTGCCATTTGGAAAATTTTTCATAGGAATCCATGCAAACACATTATTTCATCGATATTCAAAATTCTCTGATATTCATGACCGAGTTATGAAGCCCTTAAAACACTACATATCATATCATTAAGTTAAATTAAAATTTTTTTTAAATATGATAGAAATGTTTCTGCCATAGGAACCAATTGTAAACTACTCAAAACATTTTTGATTAATTAATTTTTGAGGTCGTTTTGTGGGAAACCTTGTTTGGTGCCCATATATGTTTATTTCAGAGTTTTGAACATTACAGTATTTTTTTTTAAATAGCAAACTACCTTAAACGCGCTTCCAATGTCTTGATACCTCTCAGTTTTTGTTTCCAGTAACCTATAGTATGCCAACCCATACTTTTTATGCAAATTACCCAGTTTTGTTATTTATATGCAATTAGCTATGGTCATTCCATCAATGCTTTTACATTAATGGAGTTACATTTACAGCAGTTCTGAGAGTTATTCAGACATGAGTCAGTTAGATAGATGGCTTACAACTGAGCTAAAACACTTTGCCTTGTTTTAGACTTGATGGCGCCATTGTACAGATAGCATATTTCGCGGTATTCACTATGGATTGTTAACATATTGTAATGATTTGCATTCTAGTTTACAAATTCAATAATTATCCTTCATTTATGTTTGTATCCACATATGTGGTTTGAGAAATATTAAAACACAACAAAATAACTGTTTGTTTATTTTTAATACTGAACACGTATCATTTTGAAAAATTGCACTTGGCTCCTGTCTTGCTAGTATGTCTTTATACAACCATGGTACATATATACACAAACTTGGTAACGGCAAGTAAAACCCCCAAAAAAATCATAAATAAATAATAAAAATCAAAAACAAATAAATAAATTATAAAAATACAACAAATTCATAAATAAAAAAATATGAAAACAAAATGGAGCTCCTGTATTTGATTTTAATCAGAATGGAAATGGTATGACTTGTGCGTGTGTCAGTTGTAAGTCATCTTGCTAACTGACTGTCTGATTAATTCTCAGAACTGATGTAAACAAATCAATCATGAAAACTTAATAGGTAGTAGAAAACCACGAATATATACCAGTGCAACAATATTCAGGGGTTACTGGAATTGCCAAATTGTTTTCATTTCTTCCCTCTGTCTCTGGTCATTACAATGAGGTTTTGTGATACGATGTAAATGTACAGAATGCATTTAGCACCAAGTGTAACTGTAGTATGTTATCTTTAATTGGCTAGATTGTTTATATCTACAACAGTTACTGTGTAGCACCAAGATTAACTTAATGCACTCTGCTCTGTATGCAAGATAAAGTCTAATCCAGTATGTTTTAGTAAGAATACATAATTGATTTAAGTTATAGTATTACTTGTACTTCCTCGCATGTACTTTAATACTTTGATTGTGGCATGTACTGTAAAGTAATGTATTTCTGCTTGGAATTTATTTTCACTATTTTTTCCCGAAGGATGATTCAGTGAAAATAAAATCCAGCGAATATACTTTTTTTCCTATATTTTACATTCAACTTGTAAAAAATTAGTGAAAATAAATTCCATACAAAACACCCAAAAAGCATTTTCAGCGAAAATTAAATCCAGCTAAAATAAAGTGTTTTACGGTATATACAAATATATTGCTGAGTGGTAGAAATTTGTTAGGGGTATGGGGGATTTATAACTTCACTGAGGCATTCAAGTTATTATTTCAAAACATTCTGAGGGATTCAACAAACGCCAAACAATTTCTTGTGTATTTCCCTGTCCAGTAATGTGCTACACACTTTTGATGATGGTCAATTACGATGAAGTAAGTTCACCTCAATGCAGTATTCATTTCTGAAAGATAAGACATTAATATAAAAAAGAGAAAATCAAGTTCAAAATCAAATAATTCAATTTTTGTGGCAGACGTTCGGTCTTCCATGCATTACATGAGATCTCGGCTGTGAAAATCATCAATTTCAAGGCATAAATATAAATAAAAAATGTGTTAAATTTACTACATTTGCTTTGTTACTTAGATGCATCCCTAATGTATGGGTTTATGTGATTGAAATCATTGATTTGGTAGAATGTTTTTATGCCACACCTAACACTGAATGTCACACTGAA